TCGCACCGTTAGAAATCAGAGGATTATGAAATCCACATCCTAAACTTTCCTGCCTCCTCCACCTTGGGCATAAATAGAACAGGAAGATGGCAGCAGCTGCAAATTACAGTGTGACCAGGAAAGAGGAAAGCCAGCCTGAGCTTCTGCTGGGGTAGGGAATGCCTGGCCCCTGAAATCATTTGGTAAACTATAGGACAGAAAGGTCTGCTTCTCTGTGGTTCTCCTTGCCCACCAAGGCCATCTGCCTGAATTGACAATTTTGTACAGACTGCAAATGATGTTATAAATATCCAAGGGGCAGTAAAGGGCTGGGCTGCAGGTGGACCTGAGTACAGGACAGACCTCAGAATGAGCATGAGAGCAAGCGCCACAGCATGGGGCCAGGCAGTTGCTGGAGCATGTAGTTCCACGGATCCTGGTATCCCTGGTACCTTCTGCCCCTGTTGCATAGTCAGCCAGCAGATATTTCATTCTCACACACACACACACACACACACACACACACACACACACACACACACACACTATTTCTGCATTGTCCTAGATGCCTATTGTCAATGAGGGAGCTCCATCTTCAAATTCTCCCCAGTGGACCTGCCTGTCATTAGCAGTAGCTGATGGCATCTAAGTCATAGCTGCCATGAAACTACAGTGTCATTCATTAAAGAACCTGTTTTCTCTCTGCTGAATGCTGATTCTGTTGAGATAAGCCAGGAGATGAGTGGTAAAGGCTAAAAATCGGCTGACTCTTGAGCCCTGAATGATGGCCAGGCCTGTGATGAAGGGGAGAAAAATCAACACCAGGATTGGGATGTAGCTCAAAGCACTTGCCTAGCAAATGCAGTGTCCTGGGTTCGACCACCTGTACCAAAAAAGAAAAGACAAAAAAAATACAGTTTAAAAAAAAAAGAAGAAGAAATATTAACACTAGCTGAAAGGAAGAAGAATGGACAGGGACAGGAGAAGGAGAAAACAGAAACACAAAAAGAGAAAAAAAGAGGACCAGAAAACTCAGAACAGGAGCTGCTAGATGGTGGACAAAGGAGTACAAGCAGCCCACAGAGCTCACACCTGGAGGCTGGAGAAGACTCATTTGGCTGAGAGCTCTCTAATGTTCCATTTACCCATGACTGTGTTCCAGCTTTGTTTAAAACTCTAAACCAGGTATAATGGTACATGGCTGTAACCTCACTACTGTAGATGCTGAGACAGGAGGATCAAGGGTTTGAGGCCAACCTGGAGTATATAGCAAGACTGTCTCAAAAAAAATGGTTTTATTTGATAAGTTCATTGGGGGCTCTTCTGAACATTTTCTTTCTCTTTTGAGTGTTTCTTTTCCCCCATTTGGGGCCTACTTTTTAGAAGTTGAAGGGCTACATTAGCCAAATGAAAATACTCAAAAGCACTCTGCATGCCAGGAATGCCTAAGATGTAAAATTACTGGAGGACCACCAATTATTGCATAGTATGTGCCAGTTACACTGTGACTTGGCTTGCTCTTCACATAGGAATTTTAGACAAGTATGCTTTTCGTTGAACTATTATGGAACAAATTTACCTAGAGCCATTTAGCTGCCTAGTCCTAGACCCTCCTGAATTAAAAAAAAAAAAAAAAACTTCCCACTGACCATTGCTAAAATCCCAGCCTCCTTGGTCTTATTCCTCCTGCTGATTTCATTGTTAATAAACTAGACCTGTGCTGTGCTAAGAAACGATGACAGAGCCTAGTGAAAAAGGCAGGGAACACTGTGAGATGCCAACACCAGGGGACAGGTTTTCTCTCAGGGTTTGTGTCTGAACAGGGCAATGTCTGGGAAAGCTTCCTGGAATTGGTGACACCTGAACTGAAGGGCCAGAGATAGGAGTCTCTAGGCATAAAGAGTTGCAAACTCTTCAGATCGTGTCTGTCCATTGTGAGGCTGTGAATATTGAGTGTGGCTGGTGCTCAGGACAGATGGTGAAGAGGTTTGGAACCATGGTTGGGACGCAGGGTGCCCAGCAGTGAGTGGACTCCAGAGCAGGGCTTATCAAAAGCAGCAAGGAGGTGGCAAGGATTTGAAGCCTGTGAATAACATGTGAGATTTACACTTGGTGAGGGTGTTCTGGCATCTTCACCTCCTCTGCCTCTTCCCAGCGATGACCATGAGCTGCCCAAAGTTGGAGCAAATAATGAGGACAGTGCTGGTGACAGAGACCAGAGTTGCTGCTGTGGTTGTGGGTCTCTCCAAAGCTTGCATCATGCTAAGTGTTGTACAGTGAATTTCTTTGCGCCCTGCACCTGAGAAGATTCAGCCTCAGCTTCTCTCGGTCAGCTGGCTTAGCTATGGTCCAACTCAAGCTGCATACTCCTACTCCTGCACTATTAACCTTTGCTCTCTGGAAGAGTCCTTGGGCTCAGTCCTACCCTCTCTCCTCCCCACAACCCCCTAACCTCTGTTTCCCAGCTGGCACATTTCACCTCTTCCCAGGGCAGAATCCAGACACCATGGCTCTGCCGCACAGAGCAGAACTGATAGCTTCCATGTTGTGGAAATGGCTGCTTGTTTACACGTGAGAAGCCTTGGGTGGACACCAAATGCATGGTCCCTGGCACCCATGGCTGCCTGACCTGAGAGCTGGGCTGTAGTTGCTGCTCTCGAGTGTTGGCACCCACTGACTCTGTAACACTTCCATTCCAACTTCCCAATCCTGCCAGCAAGATACGGCAATCCTTGGAAACCCTCTGACCATCCCAGAGAAGAATCTACCACCTTTCCTTGTCACCAAGGAGCCCAGGGATGGCAGTGTAGGGGGCTGGTGGTCCTAGAATCAGAGGGGACTCTTCAGGCCTTTCATACCTCAGAGGGTCACAAAGAATTTCTGTCTTGATGTGTGCATTTTAAAGCAGCTTCCTGATTGTTCCTAATTGCTAGGAGTCTGTAGTGCTCCCTGAAACCTCTATTGGAAAACTTATGTATGAACATACATGTTTCTCTAGACAGTAATTAGCTGGAAGACTCAGTAGCCAATAAAAAAGCAGCTAGTGACTGCCACACACTTCCTGTACACGTATGCAGGAGCTTTTGTCATCCCAGTGACTATGCCATGAGCTCAGCGAGCTGTTCCTTCTGGGACACATGAGCTGGTTGACCTCCTAGCTAAACAAATTTTGCATAGTGTCTAGACAATCAGCAGAAGATCTGGGGCCACTCAGGGTTAGCCAGTGTCTCTGGTGTGGAGCCCTCATTGGTGAAGAAAACCTGGAATGAGTAGAGATTCTCAGTGTCACATGTCAAACAATATGGAAACCTTGAACACAGGTGATTGGGGGGAGGGGGGAAATGCATGCACTGTCCTCAGACTCTCTCTTTGGCTTCCAAAAAAAGTAGAAAGCACAGATTTTGATATGTATTTTTTTCTACCATGTTTAACATTAGATAGATGAGAGAGAGAGAGAGAGAGAGAGAGAAATTACTTCAAAAGCAAATACATTTTTAGAATGAGCCAAGAACCTTTTAGTTTACTTATTTCATAGTTATTTTTTAAAACAAGAAGAAAATGCTTCCTTTTCTCCTCCCCTCTTTTACCTGTGGCTCCTCCCCACTTCCTCCTCCTTACTGTGAATCAAGTACATGAGCTAGTTGGATTGGGAGTTGGTCAGTTCATGGATGTGGGATGACTTAGGGGCAGGAGAAGGGGTCAGGGCAGTGTCCAGACCAACTTGACCTCTGCTTTAGAAACACTTTTCCCAAATGGACTCTGGAGTTCCTTCCTGAACCTCTCTCCCCATTTCTCATGATCACATCCTCATCAGTAGATGAACAGTATCTGCTTAGTCAGAGCCTCATCTGATCCTAAAAAATGAATCACACTCCCAGCCCGTGGGGAGCAAGCTATCCCAGTGTTCCAGGGAGAATTCTACCCTAGCAGGAAATCCAGGCTTAGGGAAGCTGGAAACATCACCCAGCAAGCAGCCAGAGGAACCCACAAGTAGTAGAGGGGAAGCAGCCAGGCCTGGATGTGGCCTTGGAGCTCCTGACTCAACCACTTAGGTGTGTCCTGGACTGACCAGTTAACTTTGCCTTCCTTTATTTTCCTCATCTATAGTGTAGGAATAATAAATGTCATTATTTCCTGAGGGTCTGATGAGGACCAAGTGGAGATCAAATCCCATGGACTTGGTATATATGAACTAATAAATGTTAACTGCTATCATCATCACCGATCTTACCCACTGAATTATCCCCCTCACTAAAAATAAAAATAGATATTCAAGTTCTACTCCTCCCCTAAGACCTGTGAATGTGTCTTTTTTTTTTAAATAGGATCTTTGCAGATGATCAGGATAAAATAAGGCTATTAATCCAATGGATTCTAACCCAGTGTGACTATGTCCAGATGAAAGAAAAGGGGAAATGTGGACACAATGACAGACATGCGTAGAGGAAATACAGAGAGGAAAGGCATGGCACGGATTCTCCATTGCAGTCCTTAGAAGGAGGCAACTCTGCCAACAGATCTTAGATTTCTAGTCTCTAGAACTGTAAAACAGTGAATGTCTGTGGTTTAACCCAGTCAGTCTGTGGTGCTAAAAGCTAAGGCAATCATCAGACCATCTTCATCCCAAAGTATAACACCCTCCTCTTAGGTATAACTTCTAACGCTCTCTTGGGAAGCCAACGCTCCCTGAAAGGCAGAGAAACTTCAATATTGAGAACAAATTATGGCATTAACTATATGCAGGTGAGCAGCAAGGTAGGGGCTGGTCAGCTCAGAAGCAGCCAGTGTTGTTCTCAGCCATTCTTAAGGTGGGTTGATTGACTTCTAGGAGACCCAGCCCAGCCGTCCTGCAGGTCATCCTTCCAAGGCTATGACTCCCTTCTTCCAGTGCCAAGTGGCATTCAACCTGTCTTCCTTCAGGGTGCCCCCTGCAAACATGGGTTGCATTTTGTTTCTTCTTATCTAGTAACCTGGGATTGACTTCTCTGACTCTCTGTGGTGGTTGGTCCCTGCTGTTGTAGGTCATGGTGCTGTCCACGAGACTTCTGAAGCCACTTAACATTCCTGAGCTGCTGTTTGCCACTGACCGACTACACCCAGACCTTGGCTTCTGATATCTGCTAAAAAGATAAAAGACCTGGCCAAGCTGGATATACCAATACCAGACTGTCACCAACCAGATTCACCTCCACCTGCAGTGTCTCTGTTACTTACTGTGTCTTTGACTGACTTCTGCCAGAAGGATCTTGAGAATCACAGGTGTTGTAAGGTACTTCGCTTGGATTGCTCATATTTTTTTTAATTTCATTTTTACAAAGATGTCAGATTGTCTTTAGTTGACTGGATTAGTGACCAATTCCCTTTCTTTTTCATTTACCTTTATTGATCATCTTTCTGAGTCTACCTTTAACTTCCTTAACTAAATAAAAACTAGTAGATAACAACGAAACCTTTGATGTGATGTTGTTCAAGGAAAAATTAGATGCCCTTTAGAATTAGGAGTGTGAGGAAAACTTGATTTTCCTTAAGATTATAGAACTGAGGCGGGAACATTACAGCTAGAGTCCAAGGCATTGTTTCTGTCTGAATCTGAAGCATGTCTGAAGGGAGGGTGGTGGTGTTGGGGCTGAGCTGGTCGCCTGCCTGCGCCTGCGTGTTGTAAATCATCCATCCATAACAAAGAGCCACATTGTTCCAGCCTGTGCTGGGCCTGGCAGCCAGGCCACTTGGAACAGCAGTGGGAGAGACGGTGGTGGAGGGCCGTCCCTGCCTGTGGAAGGTCCACACCCACCCCTTGCAGGGAGTCATTATTATAACTACCACCCCTAGAAGGCTTTTGGGATTTCCATTTTCTTTTGAAATACAAGGCTTTCTTTTCTGTACATTTAAATTTTTCTTCATAGAAAAACAAACAGACCCACCTAATGAAATTATATGAGAACTCAGGAGGTGGGGGCTAGGCAGAGCTGCTTGGAAGCCAGACATTTATAGATGTATGGCTGATGGAAGTTTCTAGCATCTCTAGATGTTTGAAATAAGGAGATAAAACTGAACAACACCTCCTAAGGCAGCTTAACCAAGTGAGAAAGAATGCCTCTGACTTTAGTTCTCTACAAAGTGTTGTCATTTTGGAGATCAATCCTAGATGTAATCAAAGCAGAGTTTTTATGAAAATAGGCATTCATTTTCTTACCCAAGTATGCTTTCCATCAAACACGAGTTCTTGGATGGTGACGAAATATAGGAGGCCATAGATGCTTGTGTAATTATCCTGGTTACCTAAAAACTTTACATTTAAAAATGAGGAAGAAAATGGCAGTGGTTCCAAAGAAGTTATAATGTCATCAAAGATTTTTATTTTCTATTTTTTTGGGGGGGGGGTTCAGTAGTGGGGCTTGACTTCTAGGCCTGGGTGCTGTCCCTGAGCTCTTCAGCTCAAGGCTAGCACTCTACCACTTAGGCCACAGTGCCACTTCCGGCCTTTTCTGTTTATGTGATGTTGAGGAATCGAACCCAGGGCTTCGTGAATGAGAGGCAAGTACTCTACCACTGAGCCACTTTCCCAGCCCAGATTTTTATTTTCTAAAATTTAAAAAAAAAAAAAAGAAATAAAAAAGAACCTGTTCAGGGACTCAAGTCTTTATTCATTTATCCCTTTGTTCTCAGACGTTGAATGAGCACATGTAGCAATCGTCCCAGGCACTCTGTGAGCTTTTACCTTGCATCCCTTGTGAGCCAGACCCGTCCTCAGCTCTGTGACACTCACAGAATAGGTGGCTTGTGCTTCCCTATGCCTTGCCCCAATATAAGCATCTCCTCAAGCTTAAGTTGTGCACCGTAGGTCCAACATGCAAATGAGTCTTTCTAGACCGTAGAACCAAGTGAAGAAGTAAGCTAACTCTAGTATCACCAAAATTAAAATTAAAAACTTTATAGGAGCCCTGCAAAGGACCTTCAACAAATAAAGAGAAAGAAGGCGACTGTGGAAATGGAGCACTGTCCCTGTGACGCAGCCTCTGTGGTGCTACCTGGGCTTTTTGCTCATGTCCCAGGTGAGGGAGGGGCTGGAGAAGAAGGCAGTTACCCGCCTCTGCTCACACAGAGGAGCACTGTGCAGAACTGAGCTTGGAAATCTCTGGATTGAAGACCCACCTGCACAGCTGAGAGCACTGTGGATGGCCCCACGCCTCAATGTGTACATCTATGAAATACAAATAAAAATGGTATCTACCTCGTGGGAGGACTGCCGCGTGGTCCTCGCTAGCAGAATGGAGAGCATGTGATTTCCACAAAATGTGGCTCTTTATTGACTCTCAAAATGATAAACTGCCACAGGAAAATGAGTAAATCAAAAGCTTGCAGACAGTCCTGAGGAGAAGAGAAACAGGACAGCAACAACACCTTCATCTAACATACTTCCAAGGCCATCTAAACCAGAGGTCTGGGCAGTGTCCAGAACTTGATTCAGGGGCTAACTCCAGTCCTACCTCTCCCACACAGTTGTTCACTTCGCTTGGTCCTAGTTCTCCATGAAATCGGACAAGAATAGGATTTACCACACTGGATTGTTGGAGCTAAAAGAGTTCACTATGTGTACGTGTATAACACTTAGAAGATGGTACCTGGTCAGCTCATTCAGACCACCTGTGTTGCCTTCCCATCACTATGATAAAATGGCTGAGAAAAATCAACTTGAAGGAGGCAAGACTTATCTGTGCTCCCATTTCAGAGGTTTCAGTCTAGAGTTACTTGGCTCTGTTGTCTCTGGGCCTGCAGTGAGGTAGAACATCATTATGGTAGAGAGTGAGAGACAGAGGAGGCTGGTCAACGCCTCATGGTAGCCAGGAAGCAGAGAGAGAGAGAGAAAGAGAGAGAGAGAGGGAGCTAGAAATAGACACAGATGTGATAGAGATATAGATACAGGGAGATAGATAGAATGATAGAGAGAGGGTGGGGAAGGAAGGAAGGGTCTCGGAAGACACATACTTCAAAGGCATCTCCTCTCTCCAGTGACCTACTTCAGCTAACAAAGTCCCCCTCCTACAGTTTTTACTGCCTCTTAACAGCCCATTAAGGTATAGACCCATCCGTTGTAAGTTATAAATGGGACACCTCCCACACGTTCTGTCTGTGACCACTGCTGTTTTGAGGACCAGGCCTTCAACACGTGATCCTTTGGGAAAGTTTCAGACATCACCTAAGAGGCACTAGTACTGGTAATAAGAGTCTGATGGTTGCTCATGCAGGACCGTATGTCTCCATTAAACCTTTCTCCATCACTAATGTCAGCCAGGAAGTTGTTAGGTAGAATCTAGGTTCCACCTCCTCCTTTACCATTTCAACCTTACCCACATGTATCCATTTGAAAGAGTCATTCCTTCCCACCCATATGGCAACCACCTGAGAGTGACATGAAAGGCCTAGCTGAGCAGTCATGCCGATTTCTCCTCTCAGGCTTGGCTATGAGTGTTTACCACCCCACGGTGGTGAAGCCAACATACAAATGCAGATCTCCTGCCAAGGGCCTCACAGACCACTTTATATACACACATGGATAGAGGAATAAATACTTCATAGCAATCGACTTCTGCTTTTGTAAACCTCCCTTTGGAGCCCTGTCCTAGCAAACATAGCGGGCACAGCAAAGTGTTTGGCAGAACTCCAAAGCTGCCTCAGCCCAGTAAGGTCCCAGGGCCAGGGCCGAGGCAAGTAACTCTTTATTCCATGGCCCCTGCACTATAGCGGTATTTGAATAACAAAAGAATTCCATCAAGCACAGCCCAAGACCACTATTATTTATTTTACCCTGGTTACCAGAAACAGAATCTCAACAACAAATAATAATCCAGTATTTCAAATGTTGTCTGCTGTTCTGTCCAAAAAAACAGCAAGAAACTCCTCTCTGTTTTAAAAGAAACTTAAGAAGACAAAAACAGCAAGAAATGGTTTTCAGAATATGTGAAAAGGAGGTATGGGGTAGTTAGGGTTTGGCCACCATCAGTAATAGCCCTAATCCTGTTTTCTTCTGAAATTTGGGAGTGGTGAGGACAATAAGAACTTTCTGGAAGCTTCTCTTTAGAGGGGTATGTATACCACATCAGTTTTTCTAGGTTATTGTAACCAGACAAGCTCTTTAGTCTGGGTCATTCCCAGTGGGGGCTGGTGGGGAGTTCTCCATTTCCCCCTAGCCAAGGCAGGAGCCTAATTTCCCAACTTTTCCTTTGTGAAGATTTGCCCACAAGCTTGTTTGTTTGCCCAGAAAATAGATTTGCTTCCCCTGCCTGCTCTTGGGGTATAAAATAAATGTTGAAATCCCTCTTTCCTCCTAAACAAGGAACTGTCTATAATCACACCCATAGTTCCTAGATCTTGGGGTTCATTGCTGGCTGGAAACGAATCCACTAACTGGTGGAGCCTTGTGAATGTAGACTAGGGTGGGAAGAAGCCAGGGATGGCCAGGAAGGCCAGCCACTCTGTGACTTCACAGCAGGGTCTGGCCAGCTGCAGAGCGCTGCAAATGGTTTTGATTTGAAGCAGGGAGGAAACTCAAAAGCCAGACATCATGACAGACATGGGTCCAGTGCTGAGACAGACTGGCTGCTTGGACGCCCCTCCTGCCCAGACATCTTTATTACCACGGGGGCTGGAGGCCAGCAGCAGCTGGCTGATGGCAACAGCAGATGTGGCCTTCCTGCAAGGGAAGGCCCAAGCCTGTCGCAGAAGGGAGATGGAGCCAAGGTGAGAGAGCGGTGAACAGAAGGACAAGAATTCCAGGGGTTCTGCTGAGAGGTCTGCCGCTGGAAGCCAGCCAGGACCAGGGAAGGACCTGAGGCAGAGTCTTGGATCTGCCACTTCCGAGCTCAGTCAGCTGCTTCGTTCAGTTCAGCTTCTCTTCTTTCTCTGTTGAAAAGACTAACGGTGGATAATGGAGGTATAGAAAATTGTAACTCAAACACTCCCACTGTGTCTGGTCCATAGACTGGGGGGCAGGAGGTGCACTGGGGCTTGAACTCAGGATCAGGTCTGTCCCTTAGCTTTTTCATTCAACTACAGTGCCTTTCCAGCATTTTGGTAATTAGAGATAAGTGTCTTATGTACCGTCCTTCCCAGTCTGGCTTTGAACCTTAAGCCTCAGCTCTCAGCCTCCTGAGAAGCTAGGATTACAGGTGTGAGCCACTGGCACACAACTATGGTTTGTGTGTGTGTATGTATATGTATATATGGTCATGGGTCTTGAACTCTGGGCCTGGATGCTGCCCCTCAGCTCTTCAGCTCAAGGCTACCACTCTACCACTTGTGCCACTTCCGGTTTTCTCTGATGGTTAATTGGAGATAAGTCTCACAGACCTTCCTGCCCAGGCTGGCTTTGAACCACAGTCCTCAGACCTCAGCCTCCTGAGTAGCTAGGATTATAGGCATGATCCACCGGTACCCGGCTGGTTCACAAGTTTTTAATAAATACAGTAGCAGCATCATTGTGGCTCTAAGCAGGCAGTTCAGTCTCTGAGCCTCCATTTTCTCATCTTTACGAGGGAAGGGAGAGAGCAGAACTTGTGGTGGCACCTGTAATTTCAGTAACTCTGAAGATGGAGACAAGAGGATTGTGGTCCAAGGCTAGCCAGGGAAAAAGTTTACTTTCAAAGGTAAGCAAACAAAAACTAGCTCAGGGCTTAGGGGAATAGCTCAAATAGTAGAGCACCTGCCTGGCAAGCACAAGGCCCTGAGTTCAAACCACCGTACCACACCAGCAAAAGAAAAAAGGAAAGGAGAGCTTACCAGACTAACCCAGTGCAGAGAACATGAGACTTGTCATAAAATAGAAGCAATATTACCTTCTTCAGGAGTCCTCAAAGATTAAAAGACAGCTGCCGCATTGGAAATAGTCAAGCTACCACATTGGAAATAGTCAATAAATTCTAATTCCTTCCCATTCTCTCCTTCCCAACACACACACACATACACACACACACACACATACACACACACGCACACACGCACACACACACACACACACACAATCTCTACCTTCCTGTGCCGCTGGAGGAAATGAGATGTTTCTGAGAGCCAGAAGATTTTAGTGTAAACATTTAGCAACATAGGGATTAAATGAAGAGACAGCAATAATGAAAGAGATGCGAAAATAATGAAACATGACACCAAATCCATGAGAAGAAAGCATGGTGTATGCTACAACTATAAATAGTCAAGTCAGCCCGAGGCAGTGGATAAAACTAGGACTTGGGTGCTTTCCAGCAGCGACTATGTTTGCTTTTCTCTTTCTCCATCTGTGTGACCATGCCTGTCTGTTTCTCTGCTGTCACTCCCTGCTCCATTCTATGGCCTTGAACAACCACTTTATCATTTCCGGATGGACCAAAGTTCTAAGCTAATTGCAGCTGAAACACCAGGAGAGGTGGAAGGAGTGAGGAAGTGAGGGCTGGTCTACACGCCAGAGCTGGAGAGGAGCGGGTGCACAGGCTGCCAGCTATGAGGGAAGATCTCTTATAAGTGATCTGCAGAGGTGTAGAGGTGGGGAAGGAAAGGGGGAAGCAGGGTGGTGGTAAAAAAAATGGAAGTTGAGCACTTTGCTGCAGAAACGTGCCACACAGGGAAGCTCTTGCCTTCTCTCATTCTAGAATATGGCTAAGAGACCAGGGTAAGCATGTGCAGATGGGCCTCTCACTCACTAATCTTGCTAACACAGCTAATCAGGGTGAATTCAGATAAAGGTGAGTAGATCTAGTTGGAGGTACTTGCCCCTGCCATGGTAATGATATTTTTCTGAGTCTCTTGGCACCATTTTCCCTCCCTGTCCCTGAGACACACACACACACACACACACACACCACCTTCTTAGAGATGAGGTTTGATTCAATGTACAGAAAATTTCCCTGTGCACAGGAAGCATTGGAGAACCGCCAGGGCATACTATCAAGAGCAAGTTGGATTTCTCTCCTGGTAAAAAAAAGACTTGAAAGCATGACTCTATACCATAGCAGATTTCCAATAGCTATCCATGTTGGCTGCTTTCCCATGGCCCCGCTGCTTGTCAGGTAGCAATATATTTATGTATGAATCATTGTGAAGAAATAGGAACATGAAAGTCAGAGAGCAATATATTATGTGTACAAACCATTATAAAGAAATAACATTAAAGACAGAAGACAGTACTGCAAGATCTTTGAATGAACAGCACTCAAAACCACTAGAGCCTGTTTTTCTCACTTATGTGTGTTGCCTACACTCCTTACAGGATTATTCCTCATGATTAAACAAGACCATTGGATGAAATCACTGCCCAAACCAAAGGTGTGACCCATTGCCCATAAAGATGGAGGGCTCACTGAGCCTGCATGGAAGGTCTTAGGGCTCAGATATCTGGCCATTGTGGCACATGCTATAGCTACAGCTGCCAGTGGCTTCACCATGAGAATAAAAAATTTTAAAGCAGCATACCCAAGAAGAGGCTTTTCCAAAAACACCAGGGAAACACTTCTTATGCCAGAAGCATGAACATCCTCAAAGATTTTGCTGAGATAAATGTGTAGTCTGCCCTTTGTCTTCGGATGACCAGGAGAACCATGAGGAAATGGGTAGGGAGGAGGATGTGTGTCTCCTCATATAGATCCACAAGTTGCAATTCACAATCAGGGTTCTGAAAGTTACATCATTTGCTTGGCAAGCCGATTTCATCATCTATAAAAGGAGGTAATAAAATGATTTGAGACTTAAGAGCCAACCCCTGCAAGGCTCAGGTACTGACTCAGTGTGCCCAATAAGTGCAAGCCATAAGTGCAAGTAATACTGTGTCTAAAAGGCAGAAGGTAAATGTTTCAATCAAGACCAAGACAGATGTTTACTCTTTTCAAATGAGATTTATTGTACATAAAATAAATTAATTACAGTTTCAGCCAAAGCATGAATGGCTTTTTAAAGTGCATCTGTATAGGGGATTTGGCAGGAAGCCCCTGTATCTGGTCACTGTAAGATAGTATTTTTGTATGTCAGCCACTCATAGCCATGACTCGGTCAGGCTTAGGAAGCAACCCAATGTCATCATCATGGGCCATTTTACACAAATTATACCAAAATCAATTGACAGTTTTCTTTTTCTGGTACCTGATGTAACAGTTGAAAAAACAAACAAACAAGCAGAACTATACAGTCTCACAGTTGGTCAGTTGGGATGGAAGTTCTTCACAGCTACTCAGCACATGCCCTGCTAAGCACACCACACCTTGTCGGGAGAGCCAGCACCTTCCTGAAGACCACAGCTCCTAGCCATCTGGACACAGAATCCTTTGGCCCCAAACTCAACCTTTATTGAGGGTGGGAAGCTCTTCCTTGTTCTTAAAAAAGAAAATCTGGGAATCTTGTAAGAAATGGAGGTCCAGAGATGTAAATCATACTGGTAAGAGGAAAGCAATTCCTCCTCTTAGGAGAAAAAAAAAAGAAAGAAAAAGAAGGAAGAAAGGACAGGATAGGGGGAACATGTGACTGCATCATGTGTTCATTCATTCCACCTAAAACACACCCATATATGTGATGAACCTATAACTGATCATCCTTTACAAGGTAGTTAAGAAGAAAACCTAAACTGGGTCTGCCCCCTCCCCACTCAACAGGACAAGGAACAAAGTCCATGTGACAGATCCACAGTGGCCTGGGGTGCTCATTCAGGCCTAGTCTGTCTGCTCCCTGCTCCAGACACTTCCTCATCACTAGTAGTTCCACAGGCCCCAGGGCCTCTCTGTTCCAGCCCTTTCTGGAACCATGAACCATGGCCAGCATACAATAGTCCTGCATGGGAGGAACCTTAGGCCCTCTTCCTGGATGACCAAACCCCCTTGAATGGTCCTGCTTCAGACAGAGGTGACAGTCCTCACTTTGGCAGAGAGTGCTTGCTTGAACCTCCTCTTCAGGTCCTGCATGTTGGGGGACTTGGGCCTGGGAATGAGAGAAGTTCTCCGCTTCTCAGGGGTGCTGCTGGGCTGCTGTTTGTGACTCACTTCTTTGCAAAGGACGTGGAAAGCATTGTAGACATCGTTGTAATTTTCACTAACGGACACTTCATAGAAGGAACAGCCCAGCATGCTGGCCAGCTGCAGTCCATGCTGGGGGTCAACCTGCTTGATATGTAACAGGTCAGCCTTGTTGGCCACAACTACCACGGGCAGCCGAGTGCCCAGGTGAAGCTGCTGGATGTGCTGGTGAAGCTGGCTAATGAGTTCGTAGCTCTTGTGGTCAGTGATGGAGAAAACCATCACCACCGCGTCTGCCCAGCGAATGCATCGGTTCAACTGCTCACTGCAGCTCAAGCCGTTCTCATGGACCTGAAAGAGAGCGGTTAGGGCCAAGTGAGTGGCACGGAGAGCAGCAAAGAGCCCTGGCCTGGTTGGACTGTGAGTTCAAAAGGGCCCTGCCACCGCAGTTCCAGGCTGCAGGTCAAAACCATGTTCCATCCCCACACACTTCAGCTTTCTTGACAATATGTTGACCCAGCTGCACAGAGTTGGAATAAATAACAGTGCAGCTCACCACACTCAAGTGGAAAATTGACCTGCAGAGAACTCCACGCAGAGAGACTTTGTAGTTGCACAAAATGGGAAATTAACTGGCTAGACAGTAAGTCTGGGGAAGTAAAGATAGGAGCTGGAAGCATTTAAACCTGGATAACCGCCCAGTTTAGGAGGGGGCGGGGGGAACCACTAGCAGACTCTTTTTGTCTACAGAGAAACTTTCTACAACATCAAAGTGATTTTAAGTATTGAAGACTCTTATCTAGATGTTTGGTTTTCAATGTGAAAGACATATATGGTTTAAAATAAAAACACATAAATACATTTTTAAAAAGCAACACCCTTTTTCACCAGAGCAAGGAAACTACCATTTGCAAGTGTTTGACTTTCGTTTTTCCTGTCCTGTGAAATCCTCCGGTGCCACAGCCACATCTCCCAAATTAGGCCAGGTCAAGACTGACCAACAGCCAGACACAAAGTGTCAAACAGGGGCTGGGAAGGTGGCTCAACGCTAGAGTGCTTGCCTTGCATGCATGAGGCCCTGGGTTCCATTCCTCCGCACTACATAAGCAGAAAAAGCCAGAAGTGGTGCTGTGGTTCAAGTGGTAGAGCGCTAGCCTTGAACTGAAGAGCTGAGGGACAGCGCCCAGACCCAGAGTTCAGGCCCCACAACAGACACACACACACACACACACACACACACACACACACACACAGTGTCAAACAACATGTAAAAGTCGAGCCCTGATTCTCCAAATCCCTTTCTCCTTCAGGGAGGTACTTTGAAAACTGAACATTTCCTCAGTCCCTCAGCTGCCTTCCATCTCCCAGCTTCTCACCTGAATACCTGGAGTATCTTGAACTTGAATCGCCAGCATTTCGCCTTCTATCTGGACTTGTCTTGTGTAGAGATTACCTAAGAAGGCAACAAAATGAGATTGTGGGTGTTTTTGTTTTGTTTCCTTTTCAAAATGTTAAAACAACATAGCCAGCTGTATTCAACACAGAAAGGCACACAGTGTATTTCTATGTATTGGAAATTTTCTCTAGATTAAAAAAGAAAGATCAACAGCCATTTTAAAACCATCTTAGGATTTATTAAAAGCAGGGCAAAGTTGGTGAGATTTGGGAGACTGAAGTCGAATTTTAAACAGAGTTTTTGTATTTGAATACTTTCTTGAAGCAGAGTTCCTGTCTAGCATGTGTGGATTTTGTTTGACTTGGGTATATAATCATTCTTTGGCCATAGGTTAACAGTTTGGCCACTATATATAAAAGATGAGTAGGCAAATATGGTTAGTAAATACACAGCTACTGGTATTACATTAAAGCAGAAGCTTTATCCTGGAGTGGCATATATAACATTTCGAATAATCTCCTATAGGGACTTCATTCTGCCTGTAGATTACTGCCTACGCTAACAGCATAGGTAGAAAGGTAGCATTTCTTAAAATCACCGCAGACTTGTTCCTCTCATTTATTCAGGAACTCAGCCTCCTAAAACTCTGCCATCTAGTTATGTCTCTTTGTGAAGAAAAGAGAACTTTAGGTTTACAACTGCTGTCCTTTGGCCTTTGCTTTAAAAGGTCACTCTGAACGGCGGCGGGTGGAGAGGGAGGGGGTGGGGGAGGAGCTGGCTAGCTTTTTTTTTCTTTTTCTTTTTCTCTCTCGCTTTTTTTTATGACTTCGGCAGGCATGTTTTGAAGGGAGAGGCCCAGGAGTACAAAGGGTGCTTCCACCGGGGGTCCCTGTCGTTCAAACACACCACTGGGACTACTTTCGGGCACTTGATAAGATGATGAATGGTCCCGGAATGGAACGAGGCCAGATGGCAGTCGCGTGGGGAGGGAGGGGGCACGGAGGGGCGCCCCGGGGCTGGGGAGGTGCCAGAACCCCCGGGCCGGACCCGGCCTGGGAGCGACCGAGACCCGGGAACAGCCGTCCTCGGGATCGCCGTTCCCTCCGGGCATTTACTTTGCTCACCTGCGTTTCTCTCGTAGTCGCCGATGAATCGCTTGGTGAGGAACCGGACCACCAGAGCTGCGGGTCAGAGCAAAGGAAAGGGAGCGGGGTTAACCACTAGCAGCCACGCTCCGAGCGCTCCCTGGCCGGCCACGCAGGGGAGTCCTTCCCGCGGCCCCCCGACCCTGCTTCCACTTCGGGAGGGTCCGGTGGCCCAGCCCCCCTCGGGGGGCACCCCGAAGCCTCCCCGCAGGAGACGGTCTCCCCGGGGCGGACTCAGCCCCCGAGGCCCCGAACCCCCGATGCCAGTCCCCGCAGGTCTGCGCTGGGCGGGAGGACGCGGGTTAACCGACCCCGCCCTCCCTCCTCTCGATTACCCGCAAAGCCCGGGGGGCCGGGGGGGACAGACCCCCGGCCCGTGGCTCGGACTCACCGGTCTTGCCCACGCCGCTGGCCCCCACCACGGCGATCTTGACCAGCCGGCGGCCCGCGACCCCCAGGCA